GGGGGCCGCCAAGATCACCGCCTCTCGCGGCGGCCAGGCCTCACCCTTCTCCAGGCTCTTGGCTGACCCTCCGGACATCGTGGCGCAGCGTAGACTGAGCTCGCGACTTGGATCTGCAGGCGATTCAGGAAGTAGAGGCCGCTCCCTCCTCCTTTTCTCCCTTCCCCTCTCCGCTAAGTGCGAACTGGGGGCGGGCTGCCAGCTCCGCCGGCGCGGCGTTTCCGGGGCGCCTGGAGCGAAGCCGGGCGCAGCGAGCGCGCTGGGCTCTTTCCCACCCTCTGCAGGGGACTCGCCGCCCAGACGCCCACCCACGGCGCCCCACCCAGGGCCGGCCTTCCGGGTTTTGTGGGGATCGTGCTTAAAACCCTGCACCCCGAGGTTGTGCCTAACCGTACTGTGTTGGCCTAGGGAAGGGATGCGCCCATGTTGAGTTACACACACACACACACACACACACACACACACACACACACACACCCTCAGAGTCATTCCTTGACCCTGGCCGAAGGTGGTCTGTGGTCTGCCCTCCACCCGGGTCCACACCTGACCCGACCTCCCATATTCCATGGCACGGACCTGGTCATTGCTCCCCCTCTGCTCCAAGGCTTCCCAGCTTCAGGGCCTGTGGCCCGGGCCCAGTGCTCGCTCACCAAAGGTTCCAGTCCATGGCACAGTGACAAGTCGCCCAGCCACCTGGACAGCCTTTGCCTTTTCCTGTCAGCACCAGCTTCCTACGACTCCTGGGATGGCCCCTGTCCCGCCTGTAACTACAGGACACATCCTTTTATTATTTTTTATTATTTTAAAAATATATTTTATTGATTTTTTTACAGAGAGAAAGGGAGAGGGATAGAGAGTTAGAAACATTGATGAGAGAGAAACATCAATTTAGCTGCCTCCTGCACACTCCCTGCTGGGGATGTGCCCGCAACCAAGGTACATGCCCTTGACCGGAATTGAACCTGGGACCCTTCAGTCCACAGGCTCTATCCACTGAGCCAAACCAGTTAGGGCAGGACACATCCTTTTAATTTTAACCCAAAAGAAACAGTCCAAATCTAGATCTTACTGACCTCCAATGGTGCTGTTTTCAAAAAATCTATTAAATATTTGGATTTTGAAGCTCTAGTAGGGCTTGGAGTCATGCAGGTAGGCAGAGTAAATTTAGTCCCACTGGTCTGCTCAAAAAAGGGATTCGAGTCGAGGACACATGGAAAAGGGTAGTCAATGTCTGACTTGTCTGCCTAGATTTGAGAGCTGGTGACTCCTGTGCTATTTACAGTGGGGCCTTGACTTACGAGTGTCCCAACTAACGAGTTTTTTGAGATATGAGCCGTCCCTCTGTGTTTCACTTCCCTCACCTGTAAAATAACGTGGCAAAACCCTAATAGCTCCTTTGTAGAAGTTGAAGAATGATTAAATTAGTGGATATTAGAAAGCACTTTAAGCAGTTCTTGGCACAGAATAAGTGTTAAATAAATAAATGCTTGTTATTATTGCTGATACTCAGTGAAAACAAGTTGACCACATTTTTGCTAAAGCATGGATCTGGCTTAACTTTTTCTCAGAAAAGTAACTTTTTAGAAGGTCTCTTAGCATATTGATGCATCGTGCAAATTAACCCTGTAAATTTAAACTTGGCCAGGCAACACCTCTGATTGGCCAAACTAAAAATTTCAGGTCAAGGTATATATCTTGAGAACTTTTACTTGGCATGGTCTGTCCCCTAATTAGTATGAACAGTGTAATGTTTTATTTTAATGGTTTGAAACATCCAATTCATCAATAAAGTAAAAAGTTAATTCCTCAAAGAAATAAATTGAAAAGAAAATATACATCCCAGGAAACAACTGTACTGTTAGCACCACTCTGCATTATAGAGAATCATCTCCAAGCCCTTGGTGGTCATGTGCATGATATGTGAACATCTGGATACACATGGATGTTAGCCACAGGGAAAAACATAGTATTTCACATTTTTTGCAGCTATAATTGTCAATAATTAACCTGAGTGGGCTAATCTCAACTGATTCTGCTGGTTAAAGATTAAGAGTTAAAGGTCATGCTGGCCAGTGTGGCTCAGTGGATGAACATGGGCCTATGAACCAGGAGGTCACAGTTTGATTTCTGGTCAGGGCACATGCCCAGGTTGTAAGCTTGATCCCCAGTAGGGGGCATCCAGGAGGCCTGCAGGAGGCAGCTGATTAATGATTCTGTCATCATTGATGTTTCTATCTCTCTCTCCCTCTCCCTTCCTCTCTGAAATCAATAAAAATATATTTTTTAAAAAAGAGTTAGAGGTCCTAGTGATAAGAAATAGTTTTCTACCTTCTAAGTACTATCTGTCTTTCCTGACAATATACACCCACTTAATACAACATTCTTTGACTTTTCAGGAATGTTACTTGAATAATTTTATACTCTTTAATCTATAATAATAAAAGCATAATATACAAATCGACCGAACAGCCGAACAGTAAAATGGCTGTCCAGACGACCTTCCAGATGACCTTCCAGAAGACCTTCCAGATGAAGCTGGGGCTGTGAGGGCCAAGCCTCTTGCACGAATTTCGTGCATCGGGCCTCTAGTATATAATAAATTTATATGTATAAAGTATTTTATAGAGTAAGTTAGGAATGTTGAAAGTCACATGAAGTGTTTCACTGTTATTATTTTAATTAATTATATTTAAAATATCTTTTTAAAAATTAGGGGCACTTATCTTGTGAATACGAACGTTACTTTAAAAATTAACATTCCATGACAGTCCATAGTAGGGAGAAATAGCTTTCATAAAAGAGATTCCATGGGAAGATACCAGCTGAATGATTGAGTGAAAGTATTATGGGGCCCAGAGTGAGATCAAATGGAAAAAAAAACTATTATAATCCTCACAATAAGAAGCTATACAGGAATAAATAGTCCATAAAGAAAGGAACTTGAATAGCAAAAAATATATAGGTGAATATTAAAAGTGCATTGAAGAGTAGAACGGATAAATAAATTGTGGTATTCATATGAACAACTATCCAGCAATGAAAACTAATAAACTATAGCTACAGCTATCAAAATAAATGTATCTCCAAAACATAAGATTGAGTAATAAAAACAATATATATGACTACATATATTAACTTTAAAAACATGCAAAATGAAACAGCATATTGGTTATGGCACATACATATGGTATGTGGTAGAGTTAAAAAGCAAGAAGCAATAAACAGAATTCAGGAAAGTTCTTACCTCTGGGGGAAGAAAGAGGAAGAAAAAGGTAGGAGGGGGCATGGCATGGGGGAGTGTTTCCCTGATATTAATTCCATTACATTTCTTAAACTGCAAGGGGCCTCAAGACAATGGTATTCAGGTAGGAAAGAATGAGGTGAGAAAAAATGTCATTTGAAAACCTTCCTGTAGAATCTAAGTTTTTACTATATACTATATGAAGGGGTGGGGGGGAGTGATTTATGGAACAGATTTCTAAAAGAACAACAAAAACCCTAACTACTGTTAAAAGGGATGAAGTAGATCTATATATACTGATGCAGAAACATGTTCAAGATATGAAAATGTGGTAAAACAGCATAGAGGAGGTAATTTCACTGGTGAATGCAAATTGCACATCTGCTAAGCATCTATATGAATGAAAATGTTGGAGAGATGGTGGCAAGACAGGAAGGACGGACTTAAAGAAGGAGGGGTAGGGTAAAGGAGAAAACTGGAGGGTGGGGGAAGGAGAAAGAACCGGAAAGACGGCTTGGAGCAGTGGTTCTCAACCTTCCTAATGCCGCGACCCTTTAATACAGTTCCTCATGTTGTGGTGACCCCCAATTTCATTGTTACAAATTGAACATAATTAAAGCATAGTGATTAATCACAAAAAACAATATGTAATTATATATGTGTTTTCCGATGGTCTTAGGCGACCCTGTGAAAGGGTCGTTCGACCCCCCCAAAGGGGTCGCGACCCACAGGTTGAGAACCGCTGGCTTGGAGGGATTTGAAAGGGAAGGGAAGAATCAAGGACAAGCTGCAGGCCTTTTGATCAGATTGTTTTCAGAAGCTCTCTGCCAATTTTAAGTAGCGGAGGGTACATCTGAAGGTGTCACATAGCAATGAAAGGCTTGGAGCTCTAGATTTAGACTAGACCTTGCTTTAAAACCCACTCCGTTTTGTAGCCTCGGGCAAGTTACTTTTCTTATCCTCACTTTCCTTATCTGTAAAATGGGGATGATGGGGGGCTTGAGGATTAAATGCAATAATGCCTGCATGGCGCTCGGACCGTCTGGCTCGGCCAGCACTCAATATTAATTTCTGCTATTGATATTTATTAATATTGTAATTATTTGTCCTGGCTGGGTGGGGCCACTCCGGCACTCACTCCGAGAGTCCCGCCCCTCGCTCAGCTTGCCGTCCGCCTACTGGCTGATACACTGCAGAGCTTTCACCAATGCGATCGGCTCTAGAAGGAGAAGGCCGAAGGGGCAGAGCCAATGGGCGCAGGGGTTACGGTCTCCTGGCGACGATGCAAACAGCGGAGGCTGCGCCGGCGGGGCAGCCAGGAGCCGCGGGGCAACCGTTGCAGACCAGAGCCGGGGTCCAGCGTTTGCTGCCCCGAGCCTGGCTTTGAGAAACACGGTCCATGGCGCAACGCCGAGAGGAGGGCTCCATCTCCGGCGCCAGCGGCGCGGCCCTGTCCGTGAGGTGCGGCATCGCCGTCAGGCGACTGACTTCGGTCTCGCGGAAACTCTTGCTCTGACTTACATCCCTTCCCTGCGCTCTTCTTCCTCCCATTCTTTTAGACCCGCTGTCCCGGAAACTTTGACCTCTTCTCTTGAAACCCCAACACCTTCCAGCAGACCCCCTCCCTGGGTGACCTCTTCTCCCCATCCCGTATTCAATGGCCACACGTCCATCTATCTTTCCCCGCCCCACCCCCTTCCTGGCTCAGTATGGCCTTCAGTGGTCCTTTTTCTCCAGACTTTTCGCAAATACCTCCCCATCCCAATGACAGCACCCATTTTATCCTTGTAGTCTTTGGTGATTTCCCCCCAAATTTAGGGCCGTTCATCTCTTCCTCCGAACTCCTACCAGCGGTTCTCAACCTGTGGGTCGCGACCCCTTTGGCGGTCAAACAACCCTTTCACAGGGGTCGCCTAAGACCATCCTGCATATCAGATACTTACATGACGATTCATAACAGTAGCAACATTACAGTTATGAAGTAGCAACGAAAATAATTTTATGGTTGGGTCACAACATGAGGAACTGTATTTAAAGGGCCAGAAGGTTGAGAACCACTGTTTGAAAAACATAAAGCACCGCACAGATAAAAGTGGTATTTCTTTCCTTCCACATTCTAGAGCAGCGATTTTCAACCTTTATCATCTTGTGGGATATAAACTAATTACTAAAATTCTGTGACACACCAAAAAAATATATCTTTTGCTGATTTGACAAAAAAACAAAGGTTTCATTTTGATTCACTCACACCGGACAGCTATTGTGTTGGCTGTTGTCTTTTTTTTTTTAATTTGACAATCTAAGGGAAAAGAGGT